AAGTCCAGGATTTTAAATAAATATAGGAATTTGATTAAATATATCTAATATGTATCTCCAGGAATACATGTGTGTATACATATGCAAACATGCTTTTGCTTGTTTTACATTGCTTCACCTTTTTGTGTGTCTCCATGCCTCAACTCCAATAATATTTAAAAAAAAAATCACTACAGTCACTTACATTTGCCTAAATGGTAGCTTTCAGAATCATCAGAAATATTTAAAATTTAAGATACAAATGACATTTGAAAACAACATGACCAGGAAATGTAAGAGGCTCATCTCCTCACAGACTCTGCTTCCCTTTGTGACCCTGTAAAAGTTCCTAATTTTTTTTAATCTTGGTTTTCTCCATTAGCAAACAAAATGGTTGAGGTTATGTCCAAAATTTCCTTTAATCATCACTCTATAAAACAAGTAGGAAGTGCCAGCAAACGCAGCAGCAGGGTTCTTCACAAGGCTGTCACTGTTCTTTATACTTCTAGCACAGTGGGTCTCAACCTAATTCTGAGATCTTTTGATAAAGCTCTTCCTGCTACGGTGACCCCCCAACCATAAACTTATTTCATTGCTACTACATAACTGCATTTTTTGCTACTGTTATTGATTGTAATATAATGTCTGATATGCAGGATTTTTGATATGAACCACCTATGAGGGTCCCACCCACAAGCTGAGGTAGCTTAAAGGAGGAAGTGTTTAGAATTCATTCATTTATCTGACTAGTTCTAGGGAAGCAGCTACAACAAATGGTAATATCTGAGGATGTTTAGTATTTAGTATTAAAGCTAGAATTTTAATTTTTGTAACATCTATAAGGAAGAAGGGTTTCACAATCAAACTAATCAGCTGAAGAATATTTGTGAGAAAAACACAGTCATATACTTAGGAAATAACTCACTTGTGACAGCTGAAATTTTTGGGGGGGGTTATTCAAGACAGGGTTTCTCTGTGTAGCCCCGACTGTCCTGGAACTTGCCTGCAGGTCGGCCTCAAACTCACAGAGATCTTCCTGCCTTTGCCTCCTGAGTGCTTGGACACTGTCTGGCACAAAACTTATTTTTAAAACAAGTTTATGGCAAGTTGAAATAGCATCCAATTAACAGACATGGATTGTTGAGATTTTATATTTCTTCTTGTCTCAATTTTCTCATAATCTTTCCTTACAAAATTTAACTCTTCTTATGATTAAACCTCAGTCTTCTAGGCACATATATCTGTGGATGGTCAGTTTCAGGGGCAATGAGGTACAGCAGGTGACAGCTGGTGCTCAGATGTCAACCCACCAGAGCAGTGACTATCTATGGAGGCAATCCTGTCCAGACAAGGTCTGCAGGACCATCCACTCTGACAGCTGCTGCTCACTGTTGCTAAAGCACTTTGGTGTCTCTCCAATACCTGCACTGTAGTATGAAATCTCATGTGATGTGTATATGTAATCTTATGATTGCATCTCAATCTTATGGCACATAAGAGGTTAGGAAGATGATTTTTCATTTATCTATATAGTTTTGATGTATAGAATATATACTGGGATATGTTTCATAACTGGATCTAGTTATCTCACAAGGATTGTGGACACTGAAAATTCTGCCTTGTTATTTTGCTTATTGGGTGACCTCTGTCCATTCTGTGGGACCCCCAGTAAGAAAATTTAGTCATGTAATCAAAAACCTTGGTTCCCACAGTCAAATCTCTGTTCCATTTCTTGAGACAAACTTAGAAGTCAGCTCTTTGCAAATACCTTTTATTTAGCAGGACATTTAGTAAGGAGGGGAATCTTTCAAATAGATCACATCTGGGACCTTCAAAGATAGGGGCATGATATGTCTAAGCTTGTTTGAGTCATAGCCTTTCCTGATAATGAGACTGAGTGTCCCCAAATTCACCCACAGCTGACTTAGGAAAGTGCTAACCTCTGTTGAAACCCCCACTCTAACCCTGCAAATGCTATTAACTCCCTACACTTACCCTCAACTCAGTTTATTAATACAGAATTTTAATTTAGGAATATAATTTAGCACACAAACTGCCCTTCTCCATTCTTAAAAAATTAGAGAAATAAGTGGAATTTTATGCCCTGGCAATGCTGAAGCATGATGTATTGACAGTCCGTATTGGGTCTGAGTTGATGAGGACAACTAACCAGATCTCTTCCTTGAGAGGACATCAGATCTCATTGCAGATGGTGTGAGCCACCATGTGCTTGGTGGGAATTCAACTCAGGACCTTTGGAAGAGCAGTCAATGCTCTTAACTGCTGAGCCATCTCTCCAGCCACCACTGACCTTTTTGTCCCTCAAATATGTCCAAGCATCTCACAAGTCACATCCCCCTTAGCCATAAAGTAAGGTGACAGCTACTTGCTTTGTGTAACCCTTATCTGTTTTAATGAACCTGAAAAATGCAAGTCCTGTACCTTGCTATTGCCAGAGAATTGCTGACTGTGTCTGTATGCGTATATAAACTTGTAACTTTGGAAGAGCATAGAAGAATAACTGATGTGAAAAGTATGTAATGGGGAATCCATTTCACCCTCAGACTTTTCTAAGTCCCATGCTTGCTGTAAGCTTTCTCTCTGAACCCTGAGAGGTCTGAGGGGCTGGTACCCAAAGGCCTCAATAGGTTAGGAAGAAGACTTCTCATTAAGTTGCATAATTTTGATATATAGAAAATATACTAAGATATGCTTCATAACCAGATATATTGTCCCATGAGGACTGTAAGACTCGTAGGCTGTTATTTTTATCACCAGCTCAGACTGGACTAAGGAAAATACCAATTTCTTCTCAGTTCTAAGACAAGCCACATACAATTAATTCATAATTTCAAGAGCAAATTCAAACTAGGCTAAGTATCTCTGTGAACAGATTGTAAGATAAACTTTCACAGATTATATACAAATACAGTTACAGGTGTCTGAACCAAAGTTATTAAGCACAAAGCAACCTAAAATACTATGCAAGTTTTTCTAGCCAGGCCTGGATGACAAAAGAGACTAGCAACAACTCCCTACTAAATTCCTTAGCAATTAACACTCTGTACAAATTTCTAACCTCAGTTTATGGTACAAAATTCAAAGCTCAAGTAACTAACTTTATGTTTAAGTTCTAAAATTTATATGGAGGATAAGAATAACAATTAATCAATTAACCAAGTCCAGAGAGAAACAACCTTATGTGGGAACAGTTCCACAAAGAGTCAGGGGTACAGAAGATGGTCTGGCCTCACAGACTTGAATAACAACGTTACAAACTTCCCTCCTTGTGCTCTGGGGTTACATGCAGGAGAATAAAATGTACTTTTAGGTTTGGGGCACCTTCAATGCCACAGTCCTGGAAAATGTCAAAGCCATGTCCCTGCCTATGTGTTGCCATGGTCCTTATCTCCTTATCATTTGTTCAAATAATGTATTAAGACTATTGTGACCCTCAAATATAGATTTTACTGCTTCTCATTGAGATAAGATATAAAGAAAAGCAGAACAAAGAAAAGGGGAAAGAAAAGAATGAGAGGTCGAGAAAATAAAGTGCTAAACCTTCTGATTGTGTGAGACTTTTTTCTAGGTCCCACTGTGCTAAAGGCATTCTTCCTGCAACCGAGATGCAGTTTTGGGAGCTGGCATCCCGAACTTCAGCAGCAATTGTCATGGAGCTTTTACACATTGCCTTATTTTCTTTTTCATGTCCACATGATATAGAACGATGCCCTTTCTCCCTGATGTCATTAATTTGTATCATCTCTCCTTTGGAAAAATCAAATGTGATTTGAGTTTTTATGAGCTTATAAATTTCCTTCATATTTTCAAAGAACTAATTTTGGATTTGTTAATTGCTTTATTGTTAATCATAAATTTAATATTTTGTGTTTGACTTTTATAGTGTATGATGCCTTGTTTTTTGTTGTTTGTTTGTTTGTTTTTTACAGAGAATTGTTTTCTATAGTTGTTGGATATGGTCTTAAAAACATCTCTACTGGTTAAATTAATTGATGGTTTGTCTTTACACCCTTTATATCTAGAATTTTCTTCATTGTTTTAATAGCTTCCCTTCTACATTGGAAAGGCCTATCTTTATGAATATCTTCTTATGCACAAAATGTGCCTTAAGATACACTTATCTACTAAGTCCCAACCTCCAGAATATTTCTTAAATATTTATTTTTATTTTTAACTATGGGTATAGAAAAGGGGGTTGTGCACATGTGAGCTGTTACCAATGAGGCCAGAAGAGGACATCAGATCCCCTGGAACTGGAGTTACAGGCAGCTGGGATCCACCTGACACGCATGTTAGGAACTGCACCTATATTCTCTCAAGAACAGTACACAATCGTGACCACTGAGCGGTCTCTCAGCTCTGATCCTCTCCTTTTAATGTAACCATTCAAGCCAACTAAAAATTAATTATGCAAATTACTGCTTTTGACTGGAATCTGTGGCTTGTTCAGCATCTTCACAGTTCAGGGGCCAGATAGGTATTTGAGAAGAGTTTATGTTCAGACCCAGATTTCCTCCTCTGGACTCTTCTCTTTTATAGAATCCCATAACAAGTTTCCAGCTACTTCACAGCCCCATACTCTCCAATAACAGTAATAAATTAGTGTATTCCCTGAATATAAAAAGCACATAAACAAAATCTTACCTTTTCAGAAAATTTGCTCTGCAAGCAAAAGGATCTGATTTCAGATCTCCAGAGCCCATATAAAAGGCCAACCCCAGCATTATGGCGCAGTCTAACGGAAACGGTGAGGTTCTAGTTCAGTGTGAAACTTTGTCTCAAAATAATAATGTTACTAGCAATAGGGTCACTCACCATCCTACCCAACCCTTGGTATGAATACCATAGATTCACAAACTCACACACATGTAACATTTTACATTTAAACTCTCAGCTGTCTATGCTTTTTATACTTCAGTGCTAAAGTCATCAGGTATGTTATCAACAACAAAAACAAACATGCTGATTTATGTTTTTCTTCTGTTGTTTAAAAGATCTACCTTTTTGCTCGCTTCTGTTCTGACTTGATTGGTTGTAGTTCTTTCTTCTTATAAGGTTTCTAGAAAGAATTGATATAAGAAGTAAATAACTTGACTGAGAAATTTTAATTTGTATTCTTTTATATTTTCAGATGGAGAAAAATATGTATAATGTAAATATATTTATATTCATAACATGTATCATAAACCAAATATATTCTATAAATATGTAGGTATGCTCAAATTGCCAAATCATCTTCAGTATCTTTTTATACTCAAGAAACATAACTCCTGCTAATCATTCTAGTGAGCAAGTGTTTTTATAAATTTATTACAGGTAAGAATTTATTTGGCTGTGCCTTACAAAAGACCTGATGTAACATTTTATAAAATAACATCATCTGTAAAAAATGAAGATAACTTTAAATCAGGTTAATGAGAAATGCAAGTAGAATGGTGTGGAATATTTCCCGATATTACCTGGTACGGAATATTTCCCAATATTACCTGGTATGGAATATTTCCCGATATTACCTGGTATGGAATATTTCCTGATATTACCTTATGTGGAATACTTTCCATTATTACCTGGCATAGAATATTTCCCAATATTACCTGGTCTGGAATATTTCCTGATAACACCTGGTATGGAATATTTCCAGATATTACCTGGTGTGGAATATTTCCTGATATTACCTGGTGTGGAATATTTCCTGATATTACCTGGTATGTCTTTCAGAATTGGTTGTCAAATTCCTAGCTGTCAAAGACTTATGGACTGAAGTTCATTCTCTTCAAATTTTCAAAGCCCTAATCAACAGTGTGTTTGTAAGTTTAGCAAAGGCTTCTAGAGAAGTGTGAGGTTCATAGGTGAGGCCCTAATCCTCTAGGACTTATACAAAGAGGACGGCACACCAGATTAAGGTCCTCTGATGACACAAGGCCAAAGAGGTAAAGAATCTCAAATTAAGGAGAAAGAAATCCCCTTGCTAACAGTTTAAGCTTGGACTTTCAGCCCCCAGAATTATGAGATAATTAACTCTGTTGATTAATCCATATACATTGTTGTGTTTGTTCCGATAGCCCTAGAAGACTAACATAAAAGCACCCAGGAAAACGGTTCAGTAACATAAATCAACTTACATTCACTGAAAAATGTCTTCCACATGTCATTCAAAACAAGTCTGGTCCCTGCATTACACTCAATGATTATACGCAATGTTTACTACAGAGTTTTCGTATACATTCCTGTAGTACTAATCAATGATAAGACTATATGAAAGATAACTGAACAACAGCTCCTCTGACCAATGTGACCCAAAAGTGAAGCTGATCATTTTATTCACTTTATAATTTTCCATGATGATCACTACAAAATTGCTTTTGAAGAAGATAGGGGTGTAGAATTCGAAATCATTCTGCTACTTGAGTGAAAAAAGAAGGGAGCGTGGGTGGTGGTTGTCTCCATCAGGATCAATGAAGTCAGTTAATCAAAGTTTTGTGTGGTATGTGATAATTCAGCATCTGCACATATGGAAAATGCATCTTTTCTCTTCACATTTACTGAAGCCAAAACATATCTTATATAAATTCTAAGAAAATATCAATGGAACATAAAGATGAAATGTAAAGATGTTACATTTGTGCTGCAAAATATACTCAGTTTTAAGACACAGGGTGTTTGTTTAAAATTATAGCTGTTAGTTACAAAGCTGAGCTTCATTTTGTGCTAAATTTCTCTCAGATACAATCTCAGTTATATATGGTCATGCTCTCTCATGGCATTTTTTTCTAAGAACTAAGATTCTTTTTTTCTATAGTTACATTAGCAAACAAGAACCTTGAAAACAGATTGGTACCTTCAGAATCTCTGGATTATACAATCTTTTTCAAAGTAAACAACTACTCCAAATGTAATATTTTAATTTTTAAATTTATGTAGAATGAATAAGTCATACTAAACCACAAAGTCAGGCTTTTCACTGTTGCCTCCAAGAGAGGTATTCATGGCTACAAAGCTACTAATGGTTCATAAAACCTAGTCTTTTGAGTTCCATACATTTACAGGAACTGTTTTTGGCCGTGTGCTCAGGTGAGGATGCTTATACCCCTATCATGCTTTGTTCTCTGACTTTCTTCTTAGGCAGGCTAAGCAAATTGCAAGTTTTCCATGACAAAGTGTCGAATGTGAGGACCTCCTACCCAGGACGCTTTCCTGTTTTAGCTTCTTCCTCTTCTGCAAACTCAGTGGACTCACTTTCTCCATTTCTGCCCCTTTCCTCCTTCCTCACCCAACTAGAAAAGATCTTGGACTTCGTTTTGGCTTTTTTTTTTAAACATTTAGTAAAAGTACTTTATTTTCTTCTTGTTTCTGTTTTTTATCTCACTTACAAAGTTATGAAGTTCACAGCTTTTATACCAAAATGTAAGAATACTGTTTAGAAATATCTTTGCAGTCAAACGTCACCTGACATTTCTTCTAATCCATCCTATGTATTCGTTATTTGTTGTTGTTTGTTGTGGTTTGCTTTTCGCAAAGTGAATTTAAAGTGTTTTTTTCCCTAAACTTAATCTTCTACAGACATCTATATTCAAATCTCAAGTTCATCCTGCCTTGACATTTCAACTCCATTTTCTCTTGAAATATTTCCTTGTCCAGCTGCCACCTGCTTCTTCCAACTTCTCCAAGTTCCTCCTTTCTGCTTAGAAACAGCTTTTCTGTCCCCAGATATTCGGCTGAAGAAGAAAACTACTAATAAAACCACCCTGATACAATTTTCAAATTTTTTGTAACAACCTGAATGATTTATCTCATATCCCTTCCGAGACTCCTTTCCCACATATTCTCTTAAATATCAGAATTAACTGGGGACTCACTTCTGGAATTTACACAATATTATTACACCTCAGGCTTCATTTCAGAAAAATGGCTGTCTAACCCATCAATCCCCATCCTCTTTCCAAATTTGTTTTTTTTCCCTTTTTGGCAGATCCTCATAGAATAATAATTAAATTCTCACACTGATTAACTATAGAACTTCTCGAGCCTTTCATTTCACATGTTACTGCTAGACAGATTTCTATTTCACTCTTCTGCCGTGAATTTCTGAAATATATTTGCTATAAAAAGGTACTCTATAACTGACATGCGATTTTATTCCCTAGCACACCCCAAATGTGGTTAAAGGAGTATTATCTAAGTCATAAGGAATCTCATAGTACATATAAAACATGATATATAAACATATCATTCAAGGTAAAATAATCAGTATTCAAAGAGACAACTGTGAAAGGAGATCATTCCTAGTATATACATATGGTGTTAAGAGGTACACATCAAAGCATGTGAACTCAACTGAGACTTTCCTGCCAGGCTGACAGCAGTTCTGTGGAGTCAGCCATGCCCCTAGCACTGTGAGGAGCAGTTCTTAGGCCACTATTGCTACCAATCTGAGAAATGACTTGAACAGGAAGAAATGCCAATCATTGGCACACATGCAGAACCAAAAGCCACTAAATGTATTTTGGGGGATTTTTTGTATGTCATTCTCTTTGCACTCTTGAAGTTAAGAGTATCCGAGGATACACACAAACAACAGAAGAACTTTGAAAGCATGCAAGCACCTTCAGCAAGCTAGAATATTCAAGCTCATATGTTCCCACAGAAAACCTTCTAAAAAGAGCCAAATCAGCATCCATACAAAAGGTAGTCCCAGCTGCGGCAGTTCCTTTTTGCATCTTTCCAGAAAAGCAGGATTGCCAAGAGTAAGGTGGTCTTCTGCCATTTGTCATGCAGAACAGGGGCGATTATACAGACGACTCAGCAAAGCCTCCCTTTACCTTCCTTAAAGAACCAAAGCTGCAGGAATTTACTCCTTTAAGTGTGTTTCTTTTTTTTTTTTCATTTTTATTTTTTTTAAAGTAATTTTATTAAATTATAGAAGTTTCCATTTCCGCCCCTCTTCCCAACACCCTCCCACTCCCCCCACTCCCTCTCCTCCTCCCTCTTCGTCCCTTAGGGCAGTCAGGGTTTCCTGCCCTGTGGGAAGTTCAAGTTCCTCCCCCCTCCCTCCAGGTCCAGGAAGGTGAGTATCCAAACAGACTGGATCCGCAAAATCCAGTATATGCAGAGGAAACAAGTCCCAGTGTCATAGTCAATGGCTTTTCAGAAAGACTTCGGGCCAGCCACATTCAGAGAATCCGGCCACATTCCGAGAATCTTGTTAGATCACGTCCTCGTTCGGTCCCACTCCAACTGGCCTTGGTAAACTCTCATTAGATCCATTCCCTTGTATCAGTTTATTTTGCCATTCTGGAGTCTGAGCCTAGGGTCTTGCATTACCAGGCAATCACTCTACCACTGAGCTACAGCTTGCTAGCAGAGGTTTTAACCATAACTCTTAGACATAAAGATTGAAAGGGAGAAAGAGGTGGCTGCTTCCCAACCAAGTCCTTCTAAAGGACTTAGTTTTTTTTTTTTTTTGTAAAAAGGTAAGGGGGGTTGCCATTTCTAAGAAAGAGAGTGTAATAACAAACTCTAGCACCATACAAAAATAACTCTAAAAACATAAAACTGAATTATATTTTTAATGTGTGACTGAACTGAAAGAAAAACAACAGAATTTCATTCTAGTTAAAAGCAACAAAGTGGTGATTTATGAGTTTGGAGCCTGACTCTCTGGCAGCTTCTGAAAGTTAATTTTGATCGTAAGCCTGGTTGAACTGGGAAACACCTAGGAGATTTAAAAAGGAATATTTGTGAGTCTGTCTATGTTGGACTTCCAGGGACATGAGACGATAAGAGTCTAAAGACTCTGACCTAATTAATGTAGTTAGTCCCTTGATGGATTCATAATTGGATGGTATTAGTGAAAGTAACATTCAAAATCCTTTCTCCTCGCTTCCTGAAATACAGTCTATTATCACTCCCTAAAGACAGCATACTGTGCAGTAGTAACACACCTCTGACCAACCTCTCCCCAGATCATTGGCTCATTTATTGATTGGCAGATTTCTTCCCCGATGTTTAATTTCTGCAGCCCTTTGTATATTAAAAATATTAATATTAACCTCTGGCCTG